ATCATTTGCTGAGCACTTTTTTTGTTTGATCTCTTTCGGAATGCAATGCCATGGCGCATTTTGAACCTCTGAAACCAGTTGTTGCTCGCTTTAAATTTCTCGGCTTGCTCTTTTCCATAACACACTGCAATCTTCTCCTTCATTTTCTTTTTTAGCCACAGCTTAGAGATCTTACACCCTTTTGCTCTTCGTAGCTTGAACTCAACAACAACACGTTGAGCTGCTAAAGGAAACTTCTCGCCTTGGACTTTACCAGACACAAGTTGTCGCCTTTGTCTTGTAGGTTTTGCGGTGCCTTTGTTCTTCTTTATCTTGTTGAGAGCTAGCTGTTCTTGAATCTTTCGTCGGTCCTTGTTCCATTTGACAACTAGTGACTTGCTTATTCCTCTTCTTTCCGCGACCTTTACCCAGAGCTTTTTGGACTTGGGCTCTTTCAGGGTACCTAGAAGATCGAGAGTTTTCAGTTTGAAATCAATGGTGTAAGATTTCCTCCGATTTGCCCCTCGTCTGGTTGAGTTGTTGTTCATAGAATCCATTCCCTCTAACTCTGTCAAATTGCGTGTTTCTTGCGTCCTTTCACAAACTTGTTGTTGAGCAGTTTGGCTGTCACTCTCGTCTATATCTTTTAATAAAACCGTAGCTCCGTAACTGCCTTGGCTGAGCTTTGGGCAATCAGATGGATGCTTGAATCGCACATGAGTGTCGAGGTATTTCTTGCCAGATAACGAATTATCGCAATATTCGCATTTTAATGTCTTTTCGTTCAACTGAACAGTTGTCTACCACTTTTTATTGTTACCTTCTTCTTAAAACCAAAGTTGAATAAAGTGTGATTCATTTTCATAAAGCTGAGAAGAGTAAGACCGGCCAGCAAGCTGGCAAACTCACGTGTTTTGGTTATCAGCTGAGATGGAATGTTTACCTAACCAATGACGTTTCTCCACAGGTAGCCCAAGCTATGTATTTGAGGGGTTTTTAAGCAATATAACGATATACTTAAGATACGATAAAAATAAACATCTGTACCTGTGTGTTATGTTTTCCTTTGCATTTCTGTGAAGTTTCAGGCGATTTGCTTCAATATTTAGCGATTTATGGCATGTTGTTTAACATGGGATACCTGTGGTTTTCCGGCCCTTCTGAAACCAAATACACTTGGCCAGCGGTGTCACAAATCACAATACATCTTACAGCGTGCTAGCTCTGTTTCAAAACTTGTAAACTCCGATTGTTTTCTCTCTTAAGGTGGTCCAAAATTGACCTACATACACCACAATAATATTGAGATATCAAGGCTATTCTGCAAATTTATTCAAGATTATGGAGAGGTGGAAGCAGAGTGCATTGGGGATCGTTTTAATGCGGGTCAAGGGAAAGGACTTGAGATACCAGTGGATTACAAGCTAATTGGAAATGAGGATTATCTGAAAAAATTAGCGAGGAAGCTGAACAGCAAAAATCTTGGTCTAAATATCAGTGATATTAAGAAAAGTGACCCCTAATAACTTGGCATCATTTGGACCTGGCAACAATAAAATGTATTAATTTCATGACATATGGAACAGAAAAACTGCTTCAGTGATCAAAAGATGGATCCTTTTTATATATGTTGTTCTCTTCATGCACTGTACTCACACTGTTAATTACTGTACATTAATATATATATATATATATTTGCTGTACAGTTTTTTCATAATGAAATACAATTTAATATAAAAATTCCTTCACTTAACATTTTTATTCCATTAACTGATTTTATCTCACAGCAATGGCAAGCTGCTAATTTTTCCAAACAGGATTCTTACCCAGCTCTGCATCACCAAAAGATGATTCTGGAAAATAAGAACCTGTTTTCATTTTCTAGGCTAAATAGGTTCTTGTTTATAGGGGGTGTAAATGACAAAATTTGAGACTAACAGGTTCTTAATTTTCGGCTTCTTACTCGCGGGTTTCCGCTGTATACTTATTTCAATAAAGTTAGTCACCTGAAAAGCTACAAAGCAGAGACCGACAAGGATTATGGGTATATATGTTTAACATGTTTCAACCGCTTTGATGACCGTTGATGAGTCTTAGATCGTTTAGCAGTTACAGTCTCACCTCTTCTGAGCCTCCTCAAACTGCAGTTTTTATCAAAAAAGTTTTACTTGCTTGATATGAGAAGTTTCCCATGATCCTCAGTGATCTCAGCTTTCTAGGCTATTTGGTTACTATAACTTTATTTGGAATAAGTGTATTTCTGCAAAATGTATGTATTTCTGCAAAATTGCATGTAGTCTGGCGTTTCGCAGGATGAAACAAAGTAACTTGTCAAGAACGATTGCTAGTAAGCATTTGAACATGAAATTAAAATCACAATGCTATTTTATGCGACCCGGGTTCTATCCGGCGGGGTATGCGAGTAGATTGTTTGTTGATTCTCTCCTCTTCTTCGAGGGTTTTTAGTATGTTCTAAAACCTGGACGACAGTGTGTAAATGTGTGTAAGTGTGTGTAAGTGT